GATTCTAAACTTCCTCTCCTCGCAACCTTCTATCATTTGGATCTCTTCGAGCTACCCTCTAGGCTGGATATCCACCTTCTCATTACCCTTCTCTAACCACTGCTTATCCTCCTTCGACCTCGACCCCCCTGGTCGAATAGCCTCTTCCTCTTTCGACTTGGTCTGCCTCATTGCCAATTTTTTGTTGTTACTCACAGTCGTCTGGTAACAGCTTCTTGAAGTGAGTTGATCCCCTGCGATCTCACCAATGTTTTTGCCCACTGGATACTTGATCGTCATGTGGTATGTCGATACGACCGCCTGGAATGCGTTCAAGCTCGTCTTCCCCATAATAATGTTATAAGATGATTTCGCCCCCACGACCATAAATCTCATCATCCGCGCTTTCCTCGTCATCCCTGACCCCAACGCAACTGGCAAACTAATCTCGCCCATCGGAATTACCTCGCCTCCATTGAAACCGTAAAGAGCCGTGGCTACTGGCTTCAACTCCATATTCAGCTCCTTGTTAATCTGCACAAAACAGTCATAAAACATTATGTCCACCGAACTCCCGGTATCAATAAACACTTTCTTCACATCGAAACCCGCCACCTCCGCGGTAATCACCAGAGCATCATTATGTGGCACCACTACTCCCTCAGCATCCTCCGCCTTAAAACTTATCTTCGGCATGCGAGCAGTAATTCCTACCTCCTCCCTCTTCCTCTTCACCGCTCGAGTATGCTCTTTCCTGGCGTTGTTCGAGTCGCCATCTGTTGGTCCTCCTGAAATCATATAAATCGTTCCCCTCTTCAGCGGTGCCTAACCTCCTTGTCTTCCTCTATCTCCATCTCCCATTCTCGGCTTCTTCCCACGACCATCTCTCCCTCCTCTCGACTCATCATCGCCTTCCTCATCTCGATCACTCATCTCCTCTGAATCCTCTTGACACCTCTTCCTCCTTTTCCCTTCGCTATCATGATAAATAAACTCTTTCAAGTGTCATGCGCGAATCAATCGCTCGATGTCATCCTTCAAATGCCTACAATTCTCCGTAGTGTGGCCATAATCCCTATGAAATCGACAATAAATATCCGACCTGGGACGAGTTGGGCCTGTAAACCTTGTCTTCGGCCAGGTCACATCTTCACTCGCCATCTTTTGTTCCATCGCCTCGAGCACCTCCCCCATATCTTTCCTTAAGGGTGTGAAATTATGGTACCTCTGCCTCTCAAACAACAGTGGCCTCCTCTGCCACGGATCATCCCGCTTTGCCTGCTTCGAATCTCGCCCATCTCTCATGGGAGACCCCCCTTTTAGTCCACCCCTCTTGGGCGAGCTCCTCCTGGGTGACCTCCCTCGTGGTGGGATCTTCTCCTTTTTTGGCTCTGGTCGAGCAGCTCCCTCCAACTTGGCAAACTCCACCTCCATTTCTTCCAAATTGATATATTTCTTGCACCTCTCTAACACATCCTCGTATGATCGAGCAGGGGTCTTTGCCAGCGAGGTTCGGCATGGCCCCGCTCGAAGACTCCTTATCAATCCACCTGCTTTCACTTTATCGGACGTCGAGTGTACCTCCAAACATGTTTGGTTATATCGAGAAACATACTTCCTCAGTGGCTCCTTCTCTCCCTGCTTCATTGCCATCAGAGTCCAATACGTCTTCTGCTGAGCCACCGCGCTCGAGTACTGATTGATGAGTTTGCTAGTGAAGTCCTCGAAATCGGCGATCGACCTGGAGGCAGCTGATGGAACCAATTGAGCGCCCCTCCCCGCAAGGTCGATAGAAAAGCCCTGCAACACACCGAATCAGAATATCCATGCAACACATCCATATTTTCAGAGGTCCTTACATGCCTCGACGGATCAGATGACCCGTCAAACACCAAGTTGGTCTCCCAAAAATTGTTCGGCAAAGGTGCCATAAGAATCTCCCTCGAGAAAGGATGTCCTCGGGCTCTCCTCTTCGGCCTCCCTTCAACCTTGTCCTACAACTGGCGCAACTGCTTTGCCATCCTCTCCATCGCACGAAACCTCACATCTCATCCAACTCCATAGCTGGACACATCATCATCCTGGCCTCCTACCACCATGGTCGGTGCAGTCGTAGCCTGAGATGTATGGTTTGTGGCTTGCTGGACCGCCTGCGCCGCTGCGGCCGCCACCATCCTCTGCATCTCGTCCTGGTCATCGCCACCATCTACTGACCGGGGATTTGCACACCGGCCTGCGGTAGTGCTCCTCCTTGCACCGCGGGTCCTCCTGGTTGCGCACCTACTGGGTTTGGCTGCTGCGGCGACGGCATCGCCACCTCGGCTGCTGCACGAGCTTCCTGGGCACGACTGGAGCTCGCGTCTCCTCCGGGAACCGCTGTCGACGCTCCCACACCTTCAAGGATAGGTGTAGGAGTAATCGGCGTCTATGAAGGGCCAGAGAAACCCGGAGGAGGGCCCTGCCCCAACGGTCTGGTCGTCGTCCAAGTGTCACCGAACGTTGACTGCAAATTGGTTCTGGGAATTCCGTCCGCCATTAGGGCTGCACATTCGGTCGAAACCGAACCGAACCGACCGAATTTTCGGTTAAAATCGAAAACCACGGTTCGGTTCGGTTTCAAACCGATAATAAAACGGTTTTATCGGTTCGGTTATCGGTTATCCGATAAAATAAAGAAATGACAAAAATAAAATGTGCAGCTCAGAATCATATCATAGACATAAAAAAAAAAGGAAGAACATGTATGCAGCTCAGAATCATATCATAGACATAAAAATTAATCAAAAAAAAAAATCACGAACTTGGATTGGGTTGGTGCCATATGAGCAGGAACATAAGAAAAAAAAATCACGAGCAGGAATAGGAGCGAGGCAATTTGAGATTTCAGACTTCAGAGTCGCCGACCGATCGAAGACGGAGCGTGTGATTGTGTGCGTCGTGCGGGGAGGACTTACGAGATTTGCTAAAAAAATTGAAATTCTCGTTTAGGATTTGGGAGATTTGCTAAAAAATTGAAATTCTCGTTTAGGACTTGGGAGATTTTCTAAAAAATTGAAATTCTCGTTCACTGCCTGGGAGATTGAGATTTGGGAGTATGGGTAATGGTTATGACTATATGCCTTTATGGAAGATGATTGACGGATTGATTGATGAGCAGATGAGATGTTCCAAGTTTCAAATTCCATGGATATGGTTTGGGCCTGTCTTGTTATGGTTAGGACTTGGGCCGTGGGGTTTTGGGCCAGTAATTGTTGTGTTCCATAATTTTTATTTAATGTCTGTGTTGGACTTGTTTAATTTATATGTACAGGTTCGGTTTTCGGTTCGGTTCGGTTAACCGAGAGGTTATATCCAAACTGAACCGAAAACCGAAATTTTAAAAAATTATAAACCGAAAACCGAACCAAATTTTCGGTTTCGGTTTCGGTCGAAACCGAATTTTCAGTTTCGGTCGGTTTCGGTCGGTTAACCAAAGTTTGTGCACCCCTATCCGCCATAGCTGAGCTTCAAACACAACTTTTTGAACAAATGTCCCCACGGTGGGTGCCAATAATGCAAGTATGAGCGTCCTGGTCTGATTCGGAATAGATCGCCTTTGTCCTCACCGGTTGAACGCTGGAAACCTGCAAATAACTCTTACACCGGGGTTTTCCGGTGAAGAGCCTTCGATGCTTAAGTATATGTATGAGTATACTTGAGTTGAATAATGAAAATCATGTTAAGGAAGAAAGGCTCACCCCTCTTTATATAGTGGTGAGATACCTGACCTAAGAGCTGCCCGGGTATGGTGAGCTGGCTGCCCCAGCTGCCCGTCCGTACTCTGACATGCCGCGCGTATGTCAGAGGTGGTGCTGGGAGTTGTCAGAGATGGTTTTCGCTGTCAACCAATGTATCCTCGCCACGTGTCCTCTGCACATGGGATGATAATTCCTCTGAATATTCCCCTGAAATTCGGTTAGAGACTCTTACACGCGCCTGTGACTAGGTATGTCTCCAAAATACTACCAACCCATAAAGTGGTCGATCTATTGAGGTCGACTCGACTGCTCGACTGCTTGACTGCTCGACTACCTGACTAGTCGACTAGTTGGCTAGTCAACTGCTCGACTGGTCGACTGCTCGACTACTTGACTGTTCGACTGCTTGACTGCTCGACTACTTAACTGCTTGACTGCTCGAATGGCTCGGCTTCCTCCCAGTACAACCTCTTCGACCGATTCGGCAGACCAGTTTAACCTTGTGGGTATAATATTCTATATCGCATAATAAAATATTTAAAAAAAAAATATCCTAAATTAATAATTACAATCAAAAGGTCAATTTACTATTTATGAATTGAACATTAACCTCTTTTAATAGACATAGATGACCCATGTGAAGACCTAGTCCACTTGTTCACATGCCACATCATTTGAATTTAGTGTTTTTTTTTTTATTTGTATTGTAGACCTCTTTTAATGCAAAAGGTCCAACATTCTATGTGACAACTTTTTTTCTTCTACAATGTTATTAGTCTATTTTTTCTTATTTGGTATGTAAATAGATTCAAGTTATGAATAGAACTACACATAGTAACACAATTCACTACAAAATAACACAATTCATTCATTTTTTTTGGTTTTGAATGAACCTAATGCAGGGGATGAAGCATTGGAGATGATGCCCAAATCGAATATGTTCATATAATTTTTCAATTCTTGCATTTATTGTTTAATATCTTCCTATAAAACAGATTGCCCCAAATTAGTAACCACAGTGCGAATGATAAGTGAGACAACAGAAGAAGCACAAAAAAGTCGCAACCTTTTTCCCGTCTCCTTTGTGCTTTCTTGCTACCACCAAACCTTCCATTAAATAAAACATATATACGCCGAGCTACACACAGTTCTCTCTCCATTTTGTATTTGTCTCAATTTGATTCCTCAATATGAACATTAGTCCCACTGAATTCCTCAAAAGTTAGCATCTTTTTATTCAAGAAGTTGTTTTTTTTTTATAGTTGATTGGATAAGTGAAGGAAAATGCAGACGGGTAGTTCAGGTGAATTGCGATCAGCGGCCGGATCAACTGATACAAGAGGAAAACACAGGATTTCTGCTGAATTGAAGAGACTCGAGCAAGAAACTCGATTCTTGGAGGTTTTTATTTATTTATTTATTTATTTTTTTCATGTTTGTCGTTTTTGCTGTGAATTCTAACCATTTTAACTTGTGTTGAATGATGGAAAAATTCATTTTTGTCTGTTTCGATCATATGGGATGTCGAATGTGGGTGCTCTTGTTAAGGTTTGGTTGTGAAAGGTGAAGTCTTTGGTTGTCTCTTGTCTGATTGGTGCATCTGTTGCATTTTGAGTGATGATAAATTTGTGGACAGTTGAAACTCTTGTCTTCTTGTATTGCTGTTCATGTATTGCTGTGAAAAGCGAATTGTTTTGTTGGAATTTTGTGATCCCTTTTTTCTTTTCGAAATAATTTTAAGAAAAAGAATGGTAACTTGAACTAGGATAGTTGATTGATACATATGCGAAGCCGTTTTTCGAGTGTTTTATTTTTCTTCTCGGCAAAAACAGTGTTCACTGTTGGGTTTATATACTTGCACATAGTAAAACCTCGCATACATTCGGAATACATAATGAGGTAGGATATAATTTGAGTCCCAAGAAATACGAGGCTGTTGTTCTTCATCACGTGATGAGTATATGAATGCAACTTATAAATAGCTATATTGGGTCACCAGCAAGAGAACTTTGAGGCCTGCTGATTGTTCATTCTGATGTGATCCGCATTAGTTAGCTACAAATAAGTAAAAATGCTAGGATACTTTTTTGTCACATGTTGAACATAAATGCTTAATAGCGTCCCGAGTTAATCTGGGTTTAAAATATTTTCCCCTTGTTGTGTGAGGTGATCTTGTTGTTCGTTCTTTTTACCTGGAAAGTTCCTTTACCTAGATACGACCGCGTAGTATTTTATATTCTGCTACTTTAATTGACTCTCTATTCCATGTGAATGGGTGAGTAACATGTCTAATTGGATAAATTTTGGGTTTATGTTTTTACAAATGTGAATTGCATATTTTGTATATCAGCATAGATTAGATTGCTTTACATAATGCAAGATTTTGTTGAAGACACTCACATGTTGCTGATGACGTTGATTACTTGAGATTTTTTAACATGCACGATTTCTCTGTCTTCTCTGTTTGTGGCACTTGTCAGCATAAGTACACTTTTGCTAGAATGAAATGAGTTGCTTTCTCTGTATGACTTTGATATCTCACAATGTGTGGTATTTTGTGGAAATAAGTGCTATTCTTACTCTGATATGTGGATGTTCAGGAAGAACTGGAAGAGCTAGAGAAAATGGACAAAGCATCTGCTGCTTGTAAGGAGTAAGTGAGATATAAATTAAGAATGGTTTTGCAACATACTTATAAGAAATAGTCGACAATTATTGATTCAAGAGGAAAAATTAGCTTGAAATGCTCTCGAGAACATTTTTTTGCTTTTGATTCTGCATGACTCGATCAAAATGTGTAAGTCTTGAAATAATCGATAATTATTCAATTTCGAGTTTCTCTCTGGTACGCTAAATCACTTTTTGTACAAGCAGAAGCTTTTCCATAACCCCTTTTTTTAGATACTCAACAATCCAAATTTCTGCATAACTTGAATCTCCTAACATTCATGTGCTATTTTGACCAGGATGCTGATTAATATTGAAACGAGACCAGATCCATTAGTCTCGGTGTAAGATGTTGAGCTCTATTTTCGCAAGACTTTGGAAGCATTTTGAGTCGAGTCTACTAATTTGCAATCTGTTTATTACTAATGGTTTTTACAGAACAATTGGTCCAGTAAATCAGATATGGGACAGGTGGTTTGAAGGAGCACAAGATTCTTCTGGATGTCGTTGCTGGATACTATGATGTTTGAAAGCCCGTTTTCACGAACGATATATACATTCAATGGCTGATTGTTGTTATCTTTGAGCGTCTTACAAAGGGGAAACACGTTTGGACACGAGTTGGTTCTGTGAAAAAGTTTGCAAAGGCTCCATCCAATTTACAGAAAATCTCATTGCGGATCATTGGTAATGATATTGGGGAATCGAGATGGAATTCGAAAGAAAGAAAGAAATGTTGATGTAGTTTTTGTGGACTTCACGTGGTAGCTTTTATAAGTTGTTTATCATCTGTTTTTTTCTTGAGATTTAACAGTTATTTGGAGGGTGAAATTTTAGTAACAAATTAAAAAACTTCTTGAGATTGAAGTGACAATTGGTGACCAGGTCAGCCTGGGTTTTGATCTGGCTAACTACAGAACTACCCAAAACTATGTGTGTAATTATGCTCAAGACATAAAAAATGTGATCGATCACTTTTATCAACAAACGCTGGTGTAATGAAGTGACAGAAACTCCTTACTTCTTCAATGGAAACAAAAAACATTGAAACTGAACAAAACATTATCAAACCACAAGGAATTGCATAATCAGATGATACATTACATAATCCATATTACTTGTAACACAAAAACATCGGGACCAAAAATCCCAGTTCCGTAAATCCCACCACCATCCGTAAATCAGATTTTAGCTCGTCGATTTTCCAGTAACTCTCTGCGCAATCCAGCCCAAACCATCATACAGACCTTCCCCTGTTAGGGCACAGCAAGCCTGGATGTGCCAGTCGTGGTTCTTTATGCTGTGAAGAGAAAGAGCATCGGTTATCTCTGCAGGGGTCATAGCATCCTTAAGGTCCTGTTTGTTTGCAAAGACAAGTACAACAGCACTCTGTAGATCCTCATGCGGAAGAAGGCTGAACAGCTCGTCTTTCATTATGGAGATCCTACTCCTATCTGTGCTGTCTATCACGATAATTACAGCATGTGTGCCTCGATAGTAGGTAGCCCATGATGTCCTTAGCCTGTCTTGTCCTCCAAGATCCCACACCTGATACGACGAGCACAATAAATAAATCCATACATAGTTTCAGATCAAACGGGAATTAGACTTGGACAAGTAAAATCGGCCTTGGAATACAATCTAGCATGTACAAATCGGTTGTTTTGCACTCTATCGGTCCTGACCATTCTAGCATGTATAAATCCAACGGCAAACATAATCAAAAGTAAGTGTAACACAGTTGGTGTATGAGGAAGATATGTTAATGAAATCAAAAGCTCACAGGCAGATGAATTTAAATTATTTCACCAAGTACTATAGCAATATAAAAAA